AATCACCCCTGGTAGTAAGTTTTGGAGATGAGAGTCTGTTTTGGGTGAAAAAGAAGGTAAATAACATGTATAACCGACTTTTACGAGTTGGGGCTAAGTTGACTCGGCTGAAAACTCGGTTTGACCACTACTCACTAAAAATCGCATAACTTTTCGCTCGGACCTCCATTTTTGACGTGGTTTTCGCTCACACGTTCGTAATTTGATAATCTACAACTTACAATAGAAATATTTCAAAAAATATCTTCCGATAAAAGTCAGTTTTTATGTATCTGTAACGTAGATATTGATGCTTTTGACCCGTTTCTTTCCAATTATTTTACCCCGGGCCTTGTATGATGATTCCGACTATTTCATATATAGTTTATTGCATTTGGGTTTGCTTCCAAATTTTACGTTTTGATCACATAAACACGTATAAAGGGGATAATTGCAACGTATTTGCAAAAGTGTATGTTACAGATTCAGTGGAAGAAAGGAGTAGAAACAGAGTGTTCACTAAGTGAACGGAAATTAAATACAATGCTGAAAAATAAATACTAACCTGGTTTTTCTTGAGGTACGTAAAGATAGAAGACTACACGGTACAAAACCTATTTTTAAAGGTTTTATACGACTACTCTTTTGACGCTGTGAGTCTACAGGTCGCAAAGCCCCAAGATTTGATGAAGTACACGTTTTTGGTTTTCCAACAACGATGAAAAACCGAATATTAAAGCAAGATTGATGTAGAATTCGGTACAGAGAAAGAACAGTTAGGAGCAGAAACTTGAGAGAGAGGGAAGCAATTTCTCAAGTGATGCTTTAGGGGTGGTTTCTACCTAGTATTTATACTCGTAAAACCTTAAGTCTCCTACTATATCGTTTCCCAAAAATTAGAGGATCAACGTTATCGTCCCCTAAAAAGTGGAGGATCAAGTTTAGTTGGAGGATTATCCTCCAACAATGTTTATCTCGAGACTTGGTCAAATTATCCTCCAATAATGTTTATCTCCAAACTTGGTCAAAATCTAATTTCTCATCTCTCTCGATGACATACCAAAATGATATTCTCTAAAATTTCTTTATCTACCAATGTGGGATGGAGGAAAACCTCCAACCTCATATAATTCATAACATTAGCTGCTAAGAAAATTAATTAGATGTTATTTTTGTAATTTAAGTTGCATATACGACTTGCTTCTGGTGTCTAAATGTAAAGAAGAGATTGCAGAATATTCATAACACATGCAAGGAATTAGGGACCAAAAATGTAATTTACTCCGAACTATAATTATATATAAGCTATATATTGGTTCAATTAGTTATATCTCTAGTCGATTAAATGTATGAAGTATAATACCAGCATTAATTAATTTGTTATTTTTTGAAATAGACAAAAAAAAATCTATATCTGATATATATAGTTTATTGAAGATGTTTCGATCATTAAAGCAAAACGCAATATTTGATTTTGGATTGTTGGCAAACGCATCCTTCTTTTGTTTAATCGAGACTGTTTAAACATAAACATTGTCGTTGGTTTAAGATTACAAATCTTTATAACAAATTAAAATAATACTTAACTTACAGTAATTTTCATGAACCTTCCCAAAAACATTCAAAGACGAGGTGGACATAAGTTAATCAAGCACCGTCGAGCTCATCCCATCAAGCATTTTCTTAGTGAGTATTGAGAGAAACAATATAAGATTTTCGTCACTAAAGGTCCGTCACTAATTTACATTAGTGACCAAATTCAAAATTGTCACAAATTAGTGACAAACAAGAGTGATCGCTGTGTTTGTGGTGACTAACCTGGTTACCGATTGTCGTCACTAAATCAGTGAAAGTCGTCACTAATTTCTCATATTAGTGACTAAAGTTAATGACCACCACAAAATAGGTCACTACTTAGGTTCAAGATAACGGATCCGTTAGTTGGTGTTAACCTTCATTATAGACCAAATAGGTAACTGACCATTAATGGTTTCTAGTGACCTAAAAGGTAGTCACTAACTAATAGGATATGAACAAAAATTATGCTAATTCCCACCTCAATTGTATTGCAATAAAATTTAAACTTCCTAATTTGTATTAATGAAAATCAAAATTATAAATTCCATTTACATAACATAAAATTCTTTGATCCGAACAAAAACAAACACATCACTATTATATATCAACATATGTCTATTTGTACATCCTAAAAGATTTTAATATAAACATTTACATCACAGCTTCTAGTAACTTAATTATAGACAAGCTTTCCTTTGTTTTTACTGCCAATTTCATGACACTCGTTTGCCTTCATTCATTCTTCAACACCCATACTAAGTTTTCTTGATGGTGTTTCTCTTGTGGTCCTTGTTATTCGTTCGTTGTTTGCTTCTTAATATGATTTTCATTGATAACCACTAAAAGATTTCTACTTATTCACACAAATATATATGCGAAATAACATAATTATATAATGTAAAATGTAAGAACCCAAAAGTATGTAAATTTACTAACCTTGGCCCTAAGTATTTGACTGTTTCTCTTCCATTCGGGTGACTTATTACAATTCTTGCACCTACCCACCGGTTATATAAACTTCAGTAAAAGTGCCACATTGATGCTTACAAAGGATTTGACAGTGCAAAAACTTGTTCATGTTTGGCATAACATTAGATGGGACAAGACTTGACCTAAGTGGGATAAAAATGTCTTTTCTTTTTCCAGATGAAAAAAAAAAACTCAGGGAGGTGAGTCAAGATTGAAGAACGTTTACAAATTGTAGTTCTATGTTAGGATGATTATAAGAGGAAAATGCTTACCATATTCTCCAGATGTTGAAGGATTGAATTTGATCACTTGGGTCGATGTCAGGTTCCTCTTTTAACAATAACTATGTCATCATGATTCAACAATTGAAGAGATGTCGACCTGAATCCCCCACCCTTTTTAACTATGTGTGCATGTTGAACATTATAAATAAATG